GATGTGAGGTCAGGCAGTAAGAACCCATCCTTGGACACTGCGATGGAGAAGGATAACAAGGAAGAGGGATAGTAAAAGATTCGTGTTTGGGGTTTTTTTTATCTACTGAGGTCTATCAACAATGTTGTTGAGGGGAATATGAAAGATAAGATGCTAATTTTTTGTATGGCTCATCACTGTTGGGAAAGAATGGTGATGTATATTAACAGGAGTTTGAAAACTCAATCGTATTTATTAGTAAATAATACTGGATACATACTACTTTCAGATACTAAGAATAACGTATTTGTCTCTTTTCAAACTATTGAGGCCACTTGTTGAAGTTATCATAGAATAATTCATGTTGGAAGGAACATGTGACATTCCTCTTTCTACTTCACGGTTCAGTTTTTTTTATCTTACCTAGTTATCTTCTCAGTGAAAAGTTCTCAGTTCATCTGAGCTTTTTATGTGGGCTCTATAAGAATTAAGCTCCAAAGGTGGCGTACTAATCTGTATCCATTTTTTTGGTGTTTTTTTTTTTTATTATTTAATAAAATAATTCTTCCCTATCATCCTCTCAAATCATAAAAATTTATAGTCACTGATATATATTCTCTTCTGGGGAATGAGAACTGCAGTCTGGAAAACCATATCATGGTTAGAATCTATGACAAAAGAACCCTGTTGGCAAGTCCAAGTATTGCATTAGGAAAGTTACAATGTTTCCCCCTCCTCCTTTTTCATTTTTTCTTCTATTGCTAAATATATCTGTCACCAGCTGCTATCCCTTTGCAATGCTCTTTCCATTCAGGAAGCTGGCTGGATGTAAAACCCATTTATATATATGCATACACATATTCACTCTAAAATTAGTATGCAAATTGAATTTATTATAATGAAAGAACACTCACGGTTTGGAATATTTTTTTTTAAAGTAAAAACTATCAAAACTTTCTAACTTAGAAAATTGTAAATTTTTAGCCACATACTTCTACTTGCAAAAAAGCTTTAATACTGTCAATATTTGGCATTTGCTGCTGCTTATGAGAGCATTATCTTCCCATATTTTACAAGTAGTGGAGAATCAGCAATGTTATTTATTTGGTACTCTGCAATCATTCCACAGTTTTCTGCAAAATGCTTGCAAATTAGAGTGATGATTTTGTCTCATTTTTGTAATCCATTACTCTCAGCAAATTTATGTTCAGTAGTTTTAAGAAGAGTTTTGTGGTATTGGACATGGCAACAGATTAGCAACCCAGTATTTTTCACTTTTCAGTGACCTGAAGGTGGCACACTAGAATAATTAGTGTTAGTACTTTTTATGTTCTTCCTAAATAATTTCAAACATAAAAGAAAGAATCTTTGCACAATGATAAAAATGTGTTCGAATAGAGGAAAAGACAGAGTATACCTCATTATGTTATGATCATTGCAGAGGGAAAGCTGCCCAACCTAGAACTTTGATGAAAAGAGAAGGTGGAAACCTTATGAAGAAAGTCTGCAGCCAGAAATAAATGGCTGTCACTACCAAACAGTTCATATGCGTTCAGAGAAACAGTTCACTGAGCAGATGAGGTTAAAAATCTCAGATTCCAAGTGGACAGCATCAACATTCTAGATATTTCAGTGTAATTTTTTAAAAACCAAAGCTTTACTGTTCCTTAAACTTGCAAAATCTATCTATAGAAGACTTGATGCCGTAGGAATCCTGAAAATTTTCATTAAATAGTTGTTTTTTATGACTGTTGAATTACAAGAAATGTAAAGACAAATGATAGAACTGTTTCTTGATTCTTTGTAGTAGAGGGGGGAGCAAGCAGTGTGTTTCTCTGTACTTTATTTAATATGAGAAACAATTGTCAATATATCTGGCTTTGTGTGCTTCTGTTTCCTCACATGTACTTTATAATTTCTACTTCTAAGACTTAAACAATTCAGCTGTACTTCCAGCTTAATGCACCAATCAGTCCATATGTTGAGCAGGGCTTGATAGGGTTACAGAGAAGTGATGAGAGGAGATAATTCATTTTTGTCTCATCTCTGTTTCCCTCCTGCTCATTGCTAGTAAATCAGCCTCTGATGATATCATTAAAAATTCCATCAGAGGTAAAGTAATATGAACAATGAAAATGGTATTTCATTTTTGGAAAATTCTGTGTTATTTTCTTCAGCAGGTAATCTCTATCACGTACTGTATCTTGCAACAGTGTGCTGTGTGTTTTCAAAGGAGGAAATAAACAGTTTTGCTATTAACTTTTTAAATTTGTTTGTTTAGACACATCTGCACTTAACAGTGCACACACAAAATTTTACAAGACAAAAATATAATCTTGTCTTTATTAATACACCCTGTAAGCTTTGCTTGCATTGCTAAAAACATGTATAGTATTAATATGTTTGCATTACTAAGACCACCAAAATGTCTGATCATATTATTTTAAGGTTCACTTATTATCAATTACATAATTAGTTTATTGCATCTATTTTCTGGCTGCATGCCTCTAAAACTGTTTTGTTCTTAACCTGAAAATGTGTGGTATGTTTTCACATCATTCTTTTCTCCTCTAGATGGCCATATTAATCTTTCTTTTCAGCATATACATATATAGTACTGACATGGCATTTTGTGTAATGTTTTTAATAGTTAAATTAAGAAAGCAAGATATTTTGTGGGGTTTGTTGGTGTATTTTGTATTGGTGATGGAATGTTCTAGTAGCACTTAAATTCTTTCTATGAAATTTAGGGGTTTAAATTTTCATTCACAAATAACTGCTTATGACCAGTGTCTGATCCACTTTGTATATTTGTGTAGGACATTTGATGCACTTAGATTTTGATGAGTTTTAATATATATTTTAAATGAAAAAAATTAATATCGTGCTTAGATGCAAGTATTTCGACAGGCTCCAAGCTATAGTAAATATATAACTTTTGCAGTGAGCTCCTCATGGACATGGCTTGATTCCAGAGTATCTCTAAAGGAAAATCTAGTTCATTAGAAAATCAAGATGATGACAAATGTCATCATCAAAAATAAAATGGTACAGAATTGCAAAGTAAATGGCACAGATGGCAAAGTGAAATAGTACAGAAGATACTTTTACACCTGAAATTTCCAACTCTTGCACAAATGACTCAAAGCTGTTAATCACAGAAAGAGGGAAACGCATATAACTACAGTATTTCTTGATACATATGTGTGGACTTAACCCACTCTCTGTGCTTAGACCCGGAGTTATAGGGTTGGCTCAAAGTTTGAAACCTTATTTTTGCCAATAATACTCTTTGTATTCTTTCTCACGTTACCCAATGAAGTATCAGTACTTACCAAAGTGACTTTTTTTCCTTTTCCCTGATACGTAGAATAGTTTGGGTTAGAAGGGACCTTTTAAGATCACCTAGTCCAAACCCCCTTCAATGGGCAGGGTCATCTTCAACTAGATCAGGTTGCTCAGAGCCCCATCCAACCTGACCTTGAATGTCTCCAGGGATGGGGCACCTACCACCTCTCTGGGCAACCTGTTCCAGTTTCACCACCCTCATTGTAAAAAATGTATTCCTTCTATTTAGTCTAAATCTTCGGTATTTTAGTTTAAAACCATTGGCCCTTGTCCTATCGCAATAGGCCCTGCTAAAAAGTCTGTCCCCATCTTTCTTGGAAGCCCCCTTTAAGTACAGAAAGGCTGCTATAAGGTCTCTGAGGAGCCTTCTCTTCTCCAGGCTGAACAACCTCAGCTCTCTGCCTGTCCTCATAGCAGAGGTGCTCCAGCCCTCTGATCATTTTTGTGGCCCTCCTCTGGACCCATTCCAACAGGTCCATGTCTTTCCCGTGCTGAGGGTTCCAGAGCTGGATGCAGTACTCCAGGTGGGGTCTTACCAGAGTG